GAGCTTTTGCTTAATAACTGTAATACCAGATATCTCCAAGTATTTCCAGTGGTTGTCCTTTAAAGCTCGTTGCCAGGTATACTGCTTTCTGCTCCTCTGTCCATCCGTTCATCTATGCCATATGTGCTCTATATATGCTTCCCACGGTGCTTTCCCATCGTATTCCTGTGGCTTCCTTCTTACTGAATCACTCCTAGTACTGACATTCATATCTGGGATGTGACTTCTAACGGGACTGAATATGTCAGCATTAGGGTTTAGCTGCAGGGCCTGGAAGGGGCTTGCCGTTGTCTGGGGCTGATTAAGTCGATAGTTAATGTATCCTCCTTGTGTAAAAGACAATAAATCATCCTTTAATGTATCTAATTCGCTTTTAAATTTACTAATGTTTTCCATTTGTACTTCTTGCCACTGTTGGAGACTTTTTTCCTGTTTATTTTCTTTCTCTTCCATCCACTGCTGTAGTCTCTCTTTTTGTTCATTTTCTTTCTCCTCCAACCACTGCTGTAGTCTCTCTTCTTGTTTCTTTTCTCGTTCTTCTTGTTTATTTTGCTGTTCGAGCTGCCATTGTTGTAGGTTTTCTTGCAACTGCTGTTGTCTCTCTTCTTGTTTCTTTTCTTTTTCCTCCAACAGCTGCTGTAATTTCTCTTCTCATTTTTCCTGTTTCTTTTCTTTTTCCTCCAACAGCTGCTGCAATTTCTCTTCTCGTTCTTCCTGTTTCTTTTCTTTTTCCTCCAACAACTGCTGTAATTTCTCTTCTCGTTCTTCTTGTTTCTTTTGCTGCTCTTGTATTGCTGCCATCAAGTCTGCTAAGGTGTAGTTTGATTTGCCGCTTCTCGTTTCCATTTCTTTTTTTTCGTCCCACTCTCTGACACCAATTTGTTACGTCTCCGTTCGTTCGTTAATTTTCCGTAAAAATTCTTACCGAAAAAAGTTTACCCATACAAGTCCTTTCTTAAATAAAACTGGTTTATTCTTTCTGAATACAATATTGCGATACACTTAATTTCAACAGTCGCTCTATAACAAACGCTATAATTCAAAACGAACTTTTCACGTGCTCAACAATATTCTCTCTGTCCGCAGTTCAATTACTCATTACCTTCCCGTCACGTTGTGACCGTCTTATATATAAAAGAACACCGAGATCTAGTAAACTCCCGATATTTCAGGAAGGGACGTGAACGTTCGAGAGGCTTGTGGCGTGATACTAGAGTCACGTGACCCCCGATGTCGTAACAATATATTCATAAAAAGTAATGCATCGCTTCACTTATTTTTAGTCTTTATATATTAATCATTTTCTGTGTTATTTAAAGGGTACCTGATGATGACAAAATCTTGTCGAAACGTTGTACATTTGCTGTTATGTTAACCTTATATTAAAGTTTTTCTTCATTACCCATTCAAGCCGTCTCCAGCCATTATTAGTCTCAAAGTGGGTTCCTCGTTATCGAATTTGAAGTTATGTTCGAGTGTTTAAGTTGCGAATATTTTCTGAACTTAGATAAGCTCAGGAGTCCGAAATTTTTTTATGAAAATCATATGTGTAAAACCCTAGGACAAGGCCGATTTGACGTTTCATTTAATATTTTGTCCACCTCACATCTCACAAAAAGTTGCACGTATTATGATGTAAACTTAACATAGAGCTATAATATTCAAAGAGTTGTTAATATTATAAACCCAAGTCAAATGTGTTGGTTCAAGAAGGATTTCATTATTGCATTTAGAATGCGAAAATTTATTTATATCTTGACTTGTAGTGTATTCGATGTCTCTAGTTTTTTGAGTACCTATTTATGTATCTATTTGTTAATGTTTAATTCGATGGATTATGTGCTAGTTTTTGCATGCTAATACTATTATCCGCTTATATTCTCTTTTTTATAGGTAGCACTACTAGTAGTAAAACATGATTGAAAATGTATGGCGCTAGATTGATGGTTAAATGTACAAGTTGTATTAAAATAAAACTATAAAGTATAAAACGAATTCAAGAAGACGGAGGACAATCAAAATTTATATTCAATTCGATTGAAACGTAAAGGGAATTCTCATAAGGTTAGGAGACAAGTTTAAATTAGATGATTGTGTGTGAAAACTGAAGATTGTGAATCGAGTGATTAGAGTGAAAAATCTGAAGAACGAGAACTTTGAAGTTAAATGGAAGTTGGACAGTGAGCCTGTGATTGTGAAGATAGTTATGTTTCTCCCTCAATTAAAATGTTATGAGTAATGACACTACACTCACGACTTTTAAGTTTAATTTGGTGAAAATGACTTTCATTTTTGAAGGAGTTGTTGTTGCTGTCAGTGAAATATTGAGGTAGGTTAAAAAGCTCATCTTTACAGTTTTCAAACAAACTGTTAATTTAAAGGTAATCGTTTCTTTATCTATTGTAAATTATTGCAAAAGGTATATATTAAATCAGTTTTATAATATTAATAAAAGGTGTCCTAAGGTCAGAGTTTTGCATTGCATTTATAAATTTCTGGTAAAGATTTGAAAAAATAACAGATTGTACTCAATTTGTAGGAACTTTTTGAAGTTCATATTTTAAGTATTTATGCTTGGCAGTGATATTTTGAGTTTCACATCTAGGCAACATGGGACCAGTTGGTCTTTAAAGGCTGTTTATGCATACTTGTAAGTTGTAATAAAAAGTAAAAACTTGAACCTACCTTTTATTTTTCAAGAAATGATTGATTCTTTTGTTAAACTCTTCTAAATTGCTTGCTTCTGCTGCTGTCAATGGCAATCAATTCATAGACCAATTGACCATCACTGCATAAGAATCATTTTATTCAGTAATGTTGTTGAGTCGGTTTCCATATGTCCATATTAAATGTGTGACTTAAATTTTGACAATCCAAGATGCATTACCATGCACTTATAATAACCAGATGTTCATTTGATCAATATTTATTCAACTTAACAATTGATCCAAATCATTCTGATGTATCCAAATGTCCTCAATACAGCCAAGAGTTTATTGTCATCAGCAAACTTTACTAATTTTGTCCTTATTAATATTATTAGTATGAATAAGTAAAAGCACAATTTCTAATCTCTGATCCCTGAAGCACTCCACTAGTGTAAAAGGTCTAGTCTGACTGTACTACATTAATAAAATCCTTTTTTGCTTTCATCCATCCAGTCATTCTACAATCCAATTTACTGGTTTTTCCCCAGCTCTCACTTCTGTTATTTTCTTAGTTAATCTTTTGTGGTTCCTTTTCAAACCGATAATTTTTTTTCTTAATGTTACATAGTATCTGGATGATGAGAAGCGTGTAGACTTTGCTTTTCAAAACACCATTAATAAGGGAAAATTCCCTTTAGTGAATCTGTGTTGATTTTCTTTGTCATTAGTAAATTATTTAAGTTAGCAATTAGTTATGTAATTAGAAGTAAAAATATGGTGTACATTGTAGTTGCAGAATTTACATTGATAATTAATAATACAAGTATTAATTAATACTAATAGTGGAATTTAATGTAATATTTATCAACAATTGAATCTACAAGTTTTGAAATAACATAGTTTTACATCAACTTGGAGTTAGACTACTTGTACAGGAAATATTTTGATCCCCTTCCCTTGTTAAATTAAATCCTTTGATCTCTACTAGTTATATCTTATTATCCTCTTCATTTTTTCATAAGGGATAGTTGGAAAGAATGAAAACTGTGGGGTTTTCTGATTTTTTTGTGGCTTTATCTCGGTAGCAATTGTCCTGTTATTTCTTAAACTGAGTGTGGGGTGAAGAGAGATCCTCTGATCTTTGATAACTCCTGGTTTCTTAAAACTAAAACACTGTTGAATAAATTGGACTAGACTATTTGTAGTCTTGACTAGCTCAATGGTTAAGAGTGCTGGTCTTATCAATTATTCTCATAATAATAATATCATCATTATATGGTTTCCTTATTAAGTTTAATAAAAATGATAGAGCTTCCCCAGACATCTTACTATATAAAATGTCTAATTGGCCCACCTGTTGCTCTAAGCATATTTTTGATTTAAGCCTTGAGCTCTGCTGAGTAATTTATTAGTAAAATATATCTTTTATACATGTATTCATAAAAGGATTTATTATGACCACTAGCTTACAAAAACCAAACTTTTCCATGAAACTGGTTGTGTTTAAATAAACATGTCTTGTATGTCATAAACTACTTCTCTGCTTCTTTACATGTTCTTTATAATGTTTTATGAACATAAGAATAATTCCCTATTCTATGGATTATATTTTTGTTTTGAACATTTTCATCATAAATGTTTGACATTTAAAACAGATTAAAACATTTCAGCACACAATAATTGTGGCCTACTTATGGTTGCCGTTGTAGAGTGCACAGTATACACATGCCATTTCCCAAGCATCTAGAAAACCTGCAGCTGTGATTTTAAACAGTTAATTTCTTTGTTTCCAATTTATTTTACTAAACTATTTTCAAGTTTTTAAAGGTAATATTTAATGCTTTTAAGTGTTATTACTAAATGTGGCACTATAGTATGACATAATTTTTTGCTACATATCAAGTTCCAATATGGTACCTCCCTCCTCTCACAAGATTAGCTATTCTTGTCCAGTGCTCCCTCTGTATGCATGTTTTTTATTTTCCTATGCCACAAGCCTTCTGCTCCTCCCTATTGGAATCAATTGATTCCAAAATGTCTTGTAAATCATTGTGCTTCACTTCTCCACCAATAGGAGCATGACATATGTGACACATGTGACTCCCTCTGTATGCCTGTAAGGCAGCGGTTGTGGTCAGACATGTTCCTTTTGATTTTGTTTAAAGTTTCATGTTTATCTTTATTATACTCACAAAGTGGTCTTCATTTATTTTCACTTCTAGTTTCTATTAAGACTGTTTCTTAAATTCACTTTAATCCCAGTTTATTACAGTAGCATTGTTACTTATACTCTTTAGTATTGGTTGACTCTTCCTTATTATGAATTCCAAAGTTCATGTTACCATTTAGGGTGTCTCACCAGCAACTAGTGCTATGTTCTAGGCCTCAGGCATGGGCGACCCGGTGGGGGGTTTATCCGTGTTTATTTGCCACGAGATCGAATGTTACATAGGTCAACCTCTGTCCCTAAACTTCTCCCCACTTCCTCCTGAACAAGCTGAGCCTGTTTAGGAGGACGAGGATTTGGATTGCCTATTTCCACCTCTTGATTTTGCCATGCATTTCCATGTTCTTCCTGAGGAGTCAGTTAGGACTAATATGGTCTTTTTGGATTTAGTTTCTCAGGTATGCGGTGTTTTATCCCTTTCCCCTATTTCATATGAACTGCATCCTTCTTTACTACATGACCAATCTATCCATCTCTATCTAGTTTTCCCCCTCCCCAAATAATGGGTTACATTCTGACCAATTTGCCTCACAATTAACTGACAGGATTAGCATGCCTCACCTCCGATGGGTGTGGTATCAGTTTGCTCATGCATATCATTGTGCAGACTGTCCTTTTCTGGACCAGCAATTGTTAGGTTCCATTTTGCCTATTTGGGGTGCAGCCTCCAAATCTCCTGTAAGTCTGACCCATGCCCAATTTTCCTGCCTTCATCTTACCCTCACAACTCTTTTATGCTATCTCCACCATCCATCTCCTTTCTGAGTCTCTCCACCAAAATCCTGAGGGTTTTTCTGGAAACATCCTCTCCCTTCTTTCCTCCACATTGACTCTTTGTTGTCTTCAGTTCTGGTTTTACATACATGGTTTCTTTGTTGTTGGGACCTTCTAGGTCATGATGCGCCCTTAACTCGCATCCGTTAACCATCATCTTATCTTCAGGATTTAAGTATGGGCCCCATTTCTGTGGTGATAAGTTTTTAACATGATCTCTGAGTCTTTGGAATCAGGAGTTGTATCAGTACAACAACAGTCTACCCTTTCCGACCTTGTTGCCTGTTTGTCTCAGTTGGAGCCCAATATGGCATCTGTTACCACTTCCCATCCCTCCCCTTCCCAACCTTTACCTATTCATTCTTCTCGAGGTGCCTCGTCTCATTTTCTTTGACAATGCACGTCACATCATCAATAGTATCAGTGACAACCCGCTGTGGGCTTAGCTTGCTGTTTTTTCAACCACTGGCATTTTTTTGTCAAGGATCATTGAGTTCTTCAAGTTTTTGTGCCTCTTGTGTCTCCTATAGCCCTTTCCTTTCTCCTGCCTCGGGATACCATGACCAGCCAGCATCTGTCAGAGGTGGCTCACAAATTACCATCTCAGCAGGCCATTGAACCTGCTCTACATCCTTCTCTAGGTTTTTATTCCAAGCTCTTTGTTGTTTCCAAGAAAAGCGAGGACTTCATCTGCCCCGTTTTACCATGGAATAATTTCTCACCCACGGTGGGCATTTTCTCCGGGCTTATAGATGACCTAGATGGATGTTGCCAATGCTTATCTCTACATCCCTTTATCACCATGGTCTCGTCCATACCTTCGGTTCATCCATCGCAGGGTAGTTTATCAATTTTGCACCCTACCCTTCAAGATTGCTCCCACTCCTCATGTTTTCTTTCAGGTGGTCAGAGCTTTTGCTCACCATCTTCATGTTCTGGGGTTGTGATTCCACTATTGTATGGATGACTGGCTTCTTCTGGATCATTCTGAACTGTAGTTGGGCAGCCATACTCATCAAATTGAAGAAGTCCTTCTTCCGATCTACCCAATATCTCGTCCACTTGGGTGTCTTTTTCGACACTCATCTCACTTGGACCCAACTTTCTCCTCCATGACTTCATTCCATGGAACTGTTAGTTCTCCATGCCCTTTCAGCTCCCTCACTTTCTGCTTGCGAGGTTCTATCACTTTTGGGGATGTGGTCTTCAATGACGTCACTGGTCTCCCTTGGTCATGCGCATATGTGATTCCTTCAGTGGGCTCTTCACGATCAATGGAACCTTGCTTGTCAGGTCCTGTCACCCTGTTTGACGATCTGCATTGGTGGTTGGACAAGGCCCATATGTGGGTGGGTGTCCCACTTCCTCCTTGTCGTCTGGATTTATATCTTTCATGGACGTATCCCTTAAGGGCTGGGGTGCATGGGTCAATCACCAGAAGGCTTTGGGTTATTGGTCTGTAGACAAAAGGTCTTTGCCTATCAATGTCCTTGAGCTTCTTGTGGTCCTTTGGGCTTTGAATCACTTCCTTCCTCTCACCAGACAATGTCTGATGATAATTCATTCCAACAATTATATGGTGGTAACATATATCTATCACCTGGGTTGAGAGATCTCCGTTTTTGAATGTTGGATTTATTATATTGGGCCCACATTTACCACATTCATCTCATTGTGTGCCCCATTCCGGGTGATTTCAGTTTTGTAATGGATCGTCTTTCCTGCCCTGACCAAAGATATCTGCGGAAGTGGTCTTTAGATCCCCTTGTTTTCTGGTGGCTTTGCAATTGGTGGGATTTTCCCACATAGATTCATTTGCCACATACCTGAATCAAAAGTTAACACACTTTTGGTCCCTGTGACCTCATTTTTGGGCTCTGGCTGTTAGTGCCTTCAACCATGATTGGTCCCACAAATTCATTTATTTTTATTTTCCTATCCAATTACTTAAGTGGGTGATCTCTCTCATCCATATCACTCCATATCGAGTCCTTCTGATCACTCCTTATTTGCTAGCTCAACCATAGTTTCCATGGTTACAACAACTGCAACTTTTCTCTCCAGTACCTCTTCCTTTGTCTCCCTTGGTTACTGGTTTTACATCCAACCATTCATATCCTTCATCTTCATGCCTGGCTTTTATCTGATCCTTGGTGAGGAGATCAGGTTTCACTCAAGTCGCTTTTCTTTTAGCTCGTTCCATATATCCTTCTTCAGTGGAGGTGTATCAGTGCAAATGCAAAGTGTTCGGCAGTTGGTCTACGACTTGGGGATTACCCACTGACAAGACCTACTGTGGCTCAAGTGGTGGTGTTTCTCATATGGCTTTTCAACCAAGGGGTCTTCAGTCTTCTCACTCTTGGGTTATTGGGCTGCCTTATCCCATACCTTTCATTTTTCCTGATGCCCTCAAGTTTTGCTTCTCCTGTCCCTACCAGATTTGTTGTCCTCCCAGATGGCCTACTCTTTTGGACTGGGGTATTAATGTGGTCCTCCATTCCCTCACTTTACCTCCGTTTTAACCACTTTCCTCATGTTCTATGTTTAACCTTTTCCTTAAAACATATTTTGTTCTCCTCATAGTCTGTAGACGTCAAAGGTCTGAGTTGTTTGCCATTGTCATTTTACATATGCTTTACCACCCTACCTATCTTCTCCTCTATCCAGATTGTTCCTTCCTCCCAAAGACCTTCGTGGTTAGGGAGGGTAAGTCCTCCTTTTTGCCTATTTCTCTTCCTTCTATTTCTCATATCTGCCCTCATTCTGATCTTGATAAACTTCTACGTCTGGTCTGTACTCTTTGTTGTTATATTGACCGTACGGCTTTCTTCTGTGGTACCTGTTCTTGGCAGTCTTACTCTGTTTGAGATCTTTCCCCTTTTACCCTCACCAATTAGGTTTGACTTTTGATTTGATTGGCTTATTCCTCCTTGTCTTCTTCCTCCCAGAATTTGTTTCAGGTGTCTTCTTATCAGATTTGACAC